AGCTGACTAAAGCACGAAAACAGAAACCAAACATCAGTGTAAAATCATTCAAAGAGCAACCAAGGCAGCCAGAACCAGAGGGTCTGAGATTCCAGAAAGAAGGAAGGGCGCTGAGGGAGGCTCCGTTCCACCGACTGCTTTGTCCCGGTGACGTTTGCCATCTGTCAGCTCTGCCAAGGCCGAAAGAATGGGCAGAAATCGGTGGCTACAAATGTCCAGTATCGCAAAGGCCCTCGCAGCTCATGTGCAGGTGACTACCCGGATTCCTGAGGGCAACCAACGCGATGTGCTCCCCAAATTCACATCCATCCAGAACCGCAGGATGTGACCTTATTTGGAAATAGGGTCTTTGCAGATGCAATTAGGTAAATTAAGATGAGGTCATACTGGACCTAAACCCAAGTGTCTCTATAGGAAGAAGAGAGGATGCAGAGGGACACAGAGGCAGACAAGGTGAAAATGGGTCACCAACTGGAGAGGTGCCTCTATGAGCCGGGAACACCAAGGACCTCGGGGGACGCCGCGGTGAGGCGGGGACACTCCACCCTCCCCTCACGCATTCAGAGAGACGTGGGGCTGCTGAGACCTTGATGCTGGACTTGAAGCCTCCAGAACTGTGGGACAACAAAATTCTGTTGTTTTGAGCTGCCCAACTTGCAGAATTGATACTTTGCTACAGCAGCCCTAGGAAACCAATGGGGTGCCGCAAGTTGGCAGCTTTATTACCATTATTGTCTGATTTAACACAAGAAAACACTGAGCTCACCCAGGAGAAGCCCAATGGCTCGCCCAAACCCAAGCCCAGCCAGCCAGGAAGGAGAATGTAGCAAATCAGAATCTCAGGCTCTCTCGCTCCATCCATTTCCATTTCTGCCATGTGACTCTGACACGGTCACCTTTACATTTCAGTCTCTTAACTAGTGCAAACAGCTTTTCTTTAACAAGTTGTTTCCTGGTGAATGGAACAATAATTGGACGCCTGTCTCTTCCTTGATCAGAGGAGGCGAATTAGATCTCTTATGCCTGCCATCTGTCTTTTGTGCTACTAAATTATATTTGATTGCTAGTGATTTCATTTGCAGGAGCAAAACTGATCCCCTACTGTACATCCAACTTCACTGGGGTTGTACAGTATTGTTGATTTAGACATTGAGCCTAATATCTACTAGAGCTCCTTCACTCTAATCGTGTGTTTGGATTTATAAATTGATGATTTTGATAGCTTTAGTTGAACTAATAAACTTTTCATATTGGATGAAAATGGGGGTGCTGTAATCTCATTATTATGCCCATGATGGGTAGACTGAACTGAACTGGGTGCAGCCTGCAGCGTCCAATAATATTTGGTTACTGAGGAGCTGTGTGCTTGATTTCTGATTTATAATAATTTTATAGTCTGCTATGTGCAGAGTTTGTAATGTTCCTGGCAGTTAACAGGAAGCCATAATTCACAGAAAGAAGATTTAGAGTTTCTAACGTTTTCAATTTTGGAAAGACTGGTTGCTGGCATTACCTAAACTCAGACATTATAAATTCCCATTGAGGCTGGGTCTGCAGCTTTTACTTACATGTAAGCCCCATCAAAGTCAATTATTGGAGGGAGTCACGTGTCTCGCCAATTGGCATTCCTATTCCTCCATCTTTCACCAAAAGTGTCTGTTGACCATTTACCTTGTTTATTATTCATTGGCCCCAATCCTCTGAGTCTCAGAGTGAGAGAATTGCATTAGGTGAGCTTAACAAAATCAAAGCAAATATTGTTATGCTTTGACATGTACTGACATCGCCTCGTGTGAAGAATGTCTACGCCTTGCATTTTCATCAATTTTTCTATTTGCTTACAGATATTCTTCGAGAGAGACTGTTTGTCTTTAACTTAAATAGTATTGAATACTTAAATATTGTCTTTCATTCCCATGAGCTATTCCTGAATCACTCTGTTCAAAACAACAACAAAATATTTTACTCTACAAAGGTTATCGAGCATAGAATATATGCCATGCTCAGTGCTTGTTCATGGATGCTTGAGGACACAAAGATTTAAAAATAAAGCCCCTGCCTTTGAGAAACTCAGTCTAGGGAGAAAACAAACAAAGAAAGAAATAATTCAAATTCATTTATGCATCAGTTAGGAGTTGGTTCCACTGAAAATAACATTAACTTAAAAAAATAAAAATTCTCTATCTGTCCAGGGCTGATATGGTAGCTTAGCCACCAGAGACCTTAGAGACTCACCCTACTTCCAGCTTACCACTCCATAATGTCTAGGGTAGAGCCCTTCTCCTCATGTTCCAAAAGAGTTGCTAGAGCTCCAGCAATCTTAAATGCATTCCAGGCAGCAGGATAGAGGGACTATAAAGAAATATCAAAGGACATGAACAAGCTATCTTTTAAGTAAGATTCTTAGAGGCTTTCGGTCAATACATCTGCTTGCATCTCATTGGCCAGACTTAGTCATTTGAGCACACTTGCAAAATGTAGTCTTTCTAATTGGCAGCCACTGACCCAGATAAAATTATTTCTATTAAAGAAAAAGATATAGACAAGAAGGGACAACCATTTTGTTGCTAATATGAAATTGGTAACACTTGACTATTTTTGATCTACAAAGAGTCAAACATGGGGGTCAGGATGCACAGTGAGAAGTGGTTGGAAGGTTGATGGGACCAGCCTGGAAGTTTTAGATGTCACGCCGTGGGGTGGGGACTTGATCCCATGATCAGGAGGGATGGGACAAAGTTGGATTTCATTTTTAGAAAGATAACTCTTAAGGGGATGGTAAATGAAATCTACACCTTCACATTTTTTTAACTTCCAGAAAGGGTCTTTTTAGATATCTGTAAGTGGTCAGTCTGCACACACACGCAGGTTGGAATGGCTGGTTTTATTCCAAGCGTGTTGACTACCTCATTTTAACGAAGGACGATGATACGGAGAGAGAGGCCATGCCCCGCTGTTTCCACTGAGCGTGAAATCCAGCCTAGCTGCTGGGATCCTCGGCCTGTGGGGGACCCAGGCCAACAAGGGGCGCTGGGCCAGTATGAGGCATCCAGCAATCCTGGTCAGGGAAGTGCTTATGTCCTTACATCAAAGAGAAAATCGAAGCAATCCAAACCTTCCACGGTTTAAGGAGGGCAGCCCAGCCCGCCAGGGGATGGCCAAGTTCTCTGCATGGGAGCCCCACCCGTTCCAGCTCCTTCGTGCCACAGAGGTCTCAGACTCACTGGTCCCTCTTCAGGCCCTTGCAATCACATCACTGTATTCAAGTTCTCTGTGAAAGTGCGGCCACTTTTCCCCGTTTTCCGTATTTTATTTGCATGTTGAGTATTGTCCATCTTTTCCCACAAGAATAGAAGCCCTGTGAGGGTGGGACTATATCTGTCTTTTTTTTAGCCTATTGAAGCCCCCAGGATAGCACTTGGAACGTAGTTGCCATGGGAACATCCCCCAACTCTGAGACTTGCCTCCATGACTCTTCTGAAGGGTTTTGCTGAAGGTCTTGCTAACTGGGTCATAGTCTTCCTCGCCAACAAATCTCACAGCCCCCATAAGATTCAGTGTCTGTGCAGACAAGCCATCAGGACTTTGACTATGTGGTTTCTTTACTCATTTCTAATTGTTACTCCCTGAAATTGCTCTGCCACTAAAATGAGACATTTTGGTCCCTGAGAACAACTTCCCTTCACCCTCCTCCATCCTACCAGTCCAGTTACAGCTCCACTTCTCCCCTCACCATCATCTCTCTCCCTGTTCACGTTCCCACTTTCCAGCTTATATTCTCTCGTCAATAACTTCAGCTGCTCTCTTCCCAATAGGCTAAACTCCTTGCCCCGGTTTCAATCCATCAAATCTGCCTAGAAAATGATCTAGGGGAAGTGAATCCAAATTTCCATCTTATCTGCACCTGTACTGAAGATCCTGAATGATGCTAGAGGATGTCCCACGACTGGGTACCTTGGTACCACAGGAAACCCACGGCCACAACCTCAACTGGACACGTGCACCATAACACAAATCTGTGGTCTCTTTAGCCAGCACCACTGGCCCAGCTGGAGCCAGCCACCGCCACTTTCACCTACGGCCTGTGTCTCTGCAGCTGCTCGCCACCTACATTCACTCCTGGGTCCTCCACTTAGAAGTCCCTTCCCGGCCAGGGCTTTCTCTGACCCCTTCAGCTGATTTAGGGACCTCAGTGACGGTACTTCCATTGCATTGTTTACCCTTTGCTACATTTATCACATTTTCATGGCGTGTTTAATCTTCAACCTCTCTGCTAGGCTCTAAGCTCTGATGTTCCCTGTCTGGGTTCCTCTCTGCTCTCTTCCCAGATGGAAGTGAATTGATGGAGCAGAAGATCGTTTTGGGGGCCAGGATGACCTCAGGGTCCAATTTCCAAAACTGTGTGATGACCCTCAAGAATCCCTTGATAGCACTGCCCTTGGTGCTTGAGAATTCCATTTTGGCGCAGGGATATGGTTACTCCTTGTGTGAGAACCAGGGATGTGGGGTGGAAAGCATAGAGACAGGTGGGTCTTCGTGTGCAGAACCCTCTGATTGATGCTTTACCAAGTTTCTCTGCAACGTAGGGCCATCTGATGACCCCCATTCATGTGTATTATGTTGGCACCGAACGCTTACTCATGAGACTGGTGAATGGCAGCAACCAATCTCAAGGGCACACTAGCAATGTAAAGTAGTACTCTCTAGAAAGAGTAAAAAGTTTGTGATCTTGTAGATTTAAACTGGAAATTTTGCACAGCTTTGGAACTTGAGGAACGTCACAGGCCTTATGCATTTTTCATACCCAAGACCACAGAACTCGAACCCTGGGGAACGTTGCTAGTGATGCCATAATACGTGTCTCTAAGTTCCCTATAGAATTGCTATCATTTTACCCCCACTGCCCAAAGTGGAAGTGATCTAACTACTGAAGTAGAAGATCTTAGCTAATCAAGACTTGGTTTAGTTGGGAAAAGAGAGCACATAAGCTAATGCTGTCATTTTCCATTTATTATGTGCTACCAACAGGTTTTCCCAAGAGCTTCTGGAACTTGATCGATAGCATTCCCAGCACGGGAGTGAAGGAACAGAGAATGGTGTAGGCGTGGCTGTGGAGACTCGCTTGCCGGATGGTATGAAGGAGAAGCCTGGAAAGCCAGTGGTCCGCACAGCGTAAGTGCATTTTTGTGTCTCTAGAGGGCATAGACTAGAAGACACAGGTCTTCGGTTCCAAGAATCCGGGGTCCATTGTAGGTGGGATACCTGGCAATGAAAAGGGAGGAAGGAGGATGATTCTGGGTTAGTGAATGAGAGCTGGGAAAGGAAAAGGTGAAAGGGAAAAAGCTTAAAGGGATGTGGTCAAGGGGGAGACTGAGGTAAGAGCCGTGAAGACAGCGAGAGGAAGTTCACGGTGGTGGACACAGGGGAGATGTGAGCGAGGCCTGGCCGTCCATAGCTCACACCAGCTCGGGTGGCTTACTCAAGAGAGAGGAAATGGTCAAGATGGGTCAATAGATGCTTGTTCCAGCAACGCAGGAAGGAAGGAGGATTCTCAGTACTATGCTCTTCACTCAAGAAACACCCGCCTGCTCAAGAGCCTTGACGTTCTACTGCCTCGTTTGATTTGCTTAGAAAGAAACCACGGAGATCTTCTTCACGATGCTTTCTCCTTCGTCGTTCTTTTTTGTTTGGAATGTGTATTTTAAAATATACATTTAGACAATGGTTGTAGCTCAACTGAACATCTGAACTAGACTTTGGTCCAGCCCAACCGTTCCGTGGAGCTCTCTTCACGGTCAATACCAATCAAATCAATCCTGCAGTGATCCGCAGCCGTAGCAAGAATGACCAAACCGCAGAATCGGCCAAGCTGCAGTCCAAGTTCAGGCCAAGGGACAGAGCCTTGCTGTCATCTGTAGCGGCAATTAAATCTGGCACAAACCACATTTAGCACTTCATCACGCTGAGCAGCTAAATGCCACTTATTTCAACATAGCTGCAGGAAGACATAAGCACAGGAAGTTTAGGCCCTTAGAATAAATAGGAAAAAAGCGCTGGACCAGGGAAGAGTGTCATTTTAAATGTTCTCATTCTCACCGGTCAGGGATTCTCTCAAATCTGTGGCCCACGACGCAGGAATCGCCTTTTAAAAATCTCCGCTTTTAAAGAGAGGCCATCTCCTACTTATCAATATTTAATAGCGTTGGAAAATAGTGGGTTATTTTGCTGTCCCTGAAGGAATTACACATTTAGAAAGTTGTAAATGTCCACAGATCTCAAGCTCCCCTCTGCTGTGTAAACAAATCCTCGGTCGCCATTTATTCCCGAGGTTATAAACCAGGTTCAGGGTTGTGCCGGTGACATTTCATCCTCATTACTGCTCCCGCCCAAGTCTGTCGCTGCTTCTCCCCTGGAGGAGGGATTCTTTTGCTTGCCGTGTCCACCCTCCACATCACTGTGTCCTAGCATCCCCTTTCCTAGAGGGATGCCACGGCCTCACTCAGGAATGCACTGAAGCAACTGTGGTAGGATTCTCTGAAGTTGGACTTTGCCCTTTGCCCAGACTAAACAGGAAAGGACAAGAAGCTGGTAGGGACAGAACCATGCCCCTCTCAGACTCATATATTGAAGCCCTAAACCCCATGATACTACTTCAACTTACACTAACCTGGATTTCCTTCGCCCTTGAACTTCAGCCATGACTACCAGTGAACTTGACCTCTGGGTCAAGTTCATTGCTTTCCTTCATCCCGCTGTTGGGCTCCACTGCCTTGTTCTCACAGAGCTGTTTGAACTCACTAAAACTGCATGTTCTCTCCTTTTAATTGGCCCTTACGACTGCACCGTGACTTCCTGTATGTCTTGTACTTGCCTTTTCTCCTTAACCCATGAGCTATTAATGACCCTCCCCATCATTTGTCCTCAGTTCAAGTTCCCAGTCCTCCGTACCCCTCCCGGGTAAGTGATTTTGTCTCTAACTTATTTACAAAACCGGCTGAGAGGCATGAGAACTGCACCCCATCTCCTTCCCCTTTTCTAAACAACTACCTCTTTATTCTGCATCTTTTCAGTCTCTGTAAATGCTTCGCCCACAGTGTGCAGAAGCCCTCATTCCTGTTGTTGCCAAATTTCTCAACGATCACTGCTTATTCATACCCAAATCTAGCTGCAAACTTCTAGAATTATTTATAATTATTGGCTTCCTGGCTAGCTGAGTCTGGCTCTGTTGCCACCACTAGAGAGAAATTGCACCAGTGAGGAGCCGTGAATTCCTCTCTCCCAGTTATGTATTTATTCCCCATTCACCGCGACTCCTCAAGATCATGTGACATGACTAGTGTATTTCTTTTGAAATTTTGAGCTATTTATTTGACTTCTGTGACCCCGAATTGCCTTGGTTCAATCGTGACCTCTTTGGCTCTCACTTCTCTATCACTTTATTGACTTTTCTTCCTCTTCCTCTCTCTAACTTCTTCTTAAATATGAACATTTCCCTAAGCTAATTCCTTTATCTCTTACCAGTTTGTTCCTTTTTTTTTTTCTTCACTAGCAAATTCACCCACTAGCAACGTTTCTCCCTCCAAGACATTGAGGAAAATTTCCATTTTTACTTGAGTATTTAAATTCAACCCACCCATCCCTAAATAGGGATGGTAAATGTCCCTTCTGTTTCCTTATTTCTGCAAACGGCACCCTCATCCTCTCCACCTCCCACACCAGAAACTCTTCAGGCACCTTGGACTCCCCTCTGTTTGTTCTTTAGGGTCAAGGAGTCACCGACCCTGGTCCATTTTCCCATCTATCTCATATCTAACCCTTCCTTTCTAGTCTAGTATCACCTCCCTAGCCCAGATCTTTTCACCTCATGGGACACTGAAACTCTCTTAACTAGTTTTCTTCCTTTTTTTTTTACTCTTTTGATATATTTTACACAATGGCAATTTTAATGCTCTAGGGCACTGCTTTGTAGATCCTACTCCTTGCCCACGTCTGCTTAGCTAGGAGATAGGTTGAGTGGGGAAGAGCTGAGCCAACATTCCAGCTGGAGACAGTGTATCCACTAGGTCTAAGCATCCAGCTAGGGAAGGGTGATGGAGCTGGGACCTTTCTAGCACTTGGAAATGTGAGTCTGGAGAGCTGGGCAGCAGCCAGAAGATTGTTGGAAGGCAGGTCAAGTGTACGTGAAGTGTGCAAGCCATTCCCCCAGAAGCCCGGCCCTGCCCACGGCAGTGAGCCCGGCATGAGCCTGTAACCCTAGAAACCAGCAGGTTCAAGCAGGTGGGCAGCAACCTTTGGGGAGATACTGCAGCAGCCACCGAGTGTTGATTTAGGGACAGATTGGGGCTTGTTGGCAGAAAGCCTAAACTCTGGAGAGGCTGAGCTACGCGAGGGGTAGCCTGGAAACAGAGAGTACAATACACTCCAGGGAAGTGTTTGCCAACCTCAGAATAGAAACTAGAGCAAAACTGGATGGTGAGCTGATGAACTGCTGAATTAGGACTCACCGTGCCTGACCCCAGTGGGGGAAGGTGGCGCAAGGGTCATCATTCAACAGTTGTTATTATTTTGAAAGAACTGGGAAACGAGAACCCATCGAATATCTTGAGTATCTATTCCTTTCCTATAGGATAACGTCCAAATCCCTTAGCATTTCAAAAGGAGCCCCCAGAATGTAGACTCATTTATCTTTTAAATCTGAGATCCCAACTTTTTCCTTCACAGCTTCCCTATTTTAGTCAACCCCCTAAACCCTCAAGTATACATTTGAACTTTTCCGTAACCCTTACTCTCTCTGACCCATCCAACACCATCCACCATTAAAAAACAAAGTCTACAGACCCCTTCCCCAAGGAGGCCTTTCTTGAGCAAACGTTGCCCATCGTAGCTCCCTTATCTGGGTTCCTGTAGCACCCGTTGCCTAAATAATTTATTTCCCAGTCCATCACATGTGTATTACGTTAAGGGGCTCATCTGTCTGTTGTGATTACATCAGCATTCCCGGATGGAATGTAAGGTCCTTGAGACCAGGAAACAGATCCATTTTTGCCTTGTACCTCCTACGGTTCCTACAGTAAGGTTGCTCACCCAATAAGTAATTGTTAAATATTTCATTGTCACCGCCTCCTTTCAAAGGCTCGGACCCAAGAACGAAGAATGTTTTCCTGCCTTGCTGTTTTCGCCGTACATTTTGTGAGTTCCTCTCATTTACATTCGTCTTCCGATAAAAGCGTTTGCCATAGTAACAGACTTGCCTGGTGAGGCTCAATCTTCAGGACGAAGCAGGGATGCAGATTTCTTGGCGGAAGCAAAAATGCATACACTGACAATTAAAAAGCCAATATGTTGGGGAAATATACCAAACGATTATTTTTCTTTTGTTTTTCCTCTGAGTCTTTATTTAAAGGTCTTTTCCAAAAGATAAATATTGTCACTCATTGACTGTGTATTTCAAATTTGCTGGAGGTTTTAGGGTTTTGCTTTTCATGTTTGTTTGGTTTTTTTTTTTTTTTTTTTTTTACACAAACCCAGGAGCTTTGAACAATTGAATCTACTAGGTTTGGCAAGAATACCCTACAACTTGATATAAATCCTTTTTTTCCTTCCTTCAAGATGAGAAGCCCAGGGTGGAAAGGAGCTCATGGGGAGAGGGAATTACGGACAGAAGACAGATGAAGGCTACATTTTTTTCTCAATAAGCCACTGCATGGGAGTTAGAGTACCCTGTCCTGTTTCTACTCCCCAAACTCTCGGGGCAGGGGAGGGGGTCTTGGTAATTTTCAATTAGTCTATTTATCAATCACAGAGCTCCTTGAAAGAGAGCTAAGGAGATGCTCTGACCTCTGTTGGCCTGCATCCCCAAGGTATCTCTTCTGGTGCAGAATTATGTCCCTCCCACCCACACGGGCCCCTGTGGATTCCCTGCCTGACCCGCCCTCCACAGAGGGCAGCAGGGCGGTTTCCAAGGTACCAGAGGAAGCTCATCTCATCAACGCAGGCTTGCTTCCTCCACCTCCTCATGACCAGGCAAGCTAAGGAGCTCTCCTTGTCTTTTAAGAAAATGTGACCTCCAAAGGCTAAGCTTCCTGGGGGCATTTAATTCTAAAAGGCAGCCTGTGTTCCTTTTGGCTTTTCAAAATAAGCTGAGTTTCTTGCCGGTGGAGAAAAACAAGAACATATTGACAGATTGATTTCTTTTCATAGACTGATTCCCATCCTAACAAAAATTCTGTGCCGTTCAGAAGAAACACAGGGTACCAATTTGCCGTATTTCACGTTCATATTTCTGTGCTCATGGCACATTCAAAAGGGACACGCGGTCTGACCGAGGCTGAGGCGAGAGGGCTGGAGTCCCGTGTGTTTTTCCCCAGTTCATTGTTTTTCACACTGACAACCGTTTGCTTCTTCTCACCTCTTCGTGTTGTGAAATTGATTTGGACTTTCTTCATGGATTGTTACGTTTTTGTTAGTTTCACTGCATTTGCCAATTCAGATTTTGCACAGGGGGGATGTAGTTTGTCCAAATGAGCTCCTCTCTGGGAAGTGAGGTCAAGTTAGGTCATGCAAATATGACAATTGTCTGTTGGTGAAACCATTTCCTCCCACCCCATCCAGGTACCTCCACGTCAGGGGCAGTCACAACTAATTATAGGGTCAGTGCAAGGAGTTCAAACTGTGCAGTACGGTCCCACACACACCAAAACAATATTTTTATTTGTTTGTTTTGATCCAGTGGTTTTGCTTATGTAATTGCTAGCAGGCTAAATGCTTCTGAACGCTGTTTACTACTCATGTTAACTCATCCAGCTCAGGTCTATAAACGAGTCTGGATCAGCCCTTCTAGGTCAAAAAATGAGAAGCCCCCTAATTTCTGGCATTCCCAGACTGTTTGCTCTACGTGGATAATGATTGCCTCGGGAGGACAATTGTCCGTCAAAACTTCTGCGTTGTGTCACACCAACATACGAACTGGTGCCTAGCAACTCGCGAAATGCTTTAGCACTAAAATATTCCCCCTTTTTTTAAAAAAAGGAAGATTGCACAAAGACATTAAAAATGATTGTCAAATGTAGCATGTTTTGCTCGACTTCATTTTATGTGATCAGTAAATTTCTGGAGAAAATCAATGTATTAAGAAGTACACATTTTCCTTATTGTCGCTACATAGAAGACTATTGATTGTGACAAGAGAGTTGATACATATTTGTAGGCACCCGGAGAGCTCAGGAAGGTTCGTCCTGGTGATAAGCTCCTTCACTGAAATCCTGTCTCGACCAGAAGAGTGGTCAGGTGTTGGATGTCCGGAGATACAGTGGTACTCAAGCACGAAATGGCAAACATCTTTGATGCTCTATCAGGCTATAAGCTGAAGTTAAGATTTTTGCAACAGAAAGCAGTGCGTCTTATCTGCACCCTTTGAAGGCCCAGAGCACGGGATGCTCCCCAGATGAGGCTTGTACTGGGGCTGGACTGACATCTCAGGGGAGCGGGCATTGGGGTACAGCAGGTTAGATCCTTCAAATATCCCCCAAAACAAGACTCAGGTAAATTTTCCCAAAGTTTCTAGAGACAGAGAACTATAAGAAACTAAGAAATTAAATTAAATTAACTATGCATTGCACTAAAAATGCACAGTGAAGAAAAGAAGA